CTTGGAATAAAAAAATCATATAACTTTATTTTTCTTTTGGCCTGACTACCTGTTTTTCTTTTTCTTTATTATTTTTATTTTTAGAGAATATTTGTATAGTTAAAGGTTTAATTTCCATTATTAAGAATAGTAAATTTATAATGGATTAAACCTATATACATAAGACTAAAGATACTATTTCTCAGGAACTACATAGTTTTGAAAATTAATATATGAATATTGCAACATAAAAAAATATTATATATGTATATTAAAATTTTGTAGACATAAAAATTAGTATTAATAATAGATACTTTAAAATAACATTTATCAATACATATAATAAAACAGTTAGCGAAATCAATGTGCGCGTTTCACGCAAAAACTACTGAACCGATTTTAATTAAGTTTCGCGTAGTGTTAACCTATTACTCGGATCAACATTTATGATATCTTTTACCATAGGAAAATTTTTCATTCCCACGGGAAAAAACAATGACTGATTCTAGCGAGTCTTTCTTAGATATTTACAAGTCCAACGTTGCCTAAACCTTAAGGGATAGATAGGTTAAAATTGTAGGTAAAAATCTGCAATAGCATAAGTATTTCTCCTAAGGTACACTCGCAATAACTATTCATATCTATTTAAAATGTACCTAGGGACGCACTCGGGCGAAGTGAAGGTAACCACTAGTTTTAAATAAAACTATCTTTACAGATTTTTCGCGAATTTATTTTTATTTTTAGTTTCAGGCATTTTGATTGCTTTAAAGCAATCTTGGTCATACGAGAAATTTACGGTTCTAGACGGTTATTACAGACCACTCTACCCCTCGCCGAAGTCTATCGGTTTCGGGCGAGTGAGCGGGCGCGAGGGGAACGTCCAGCGCGGGAGGGAGTCGCTCGGATCAGGCGCCTAGCTGACGAGGCACTGATCCGGCGCTGGTGGGAAGACCTGGGGACTCCAGCGGCTGGCCGGGCGACGGTGGGGGCGGTTCGTCCGTTCCTGTCTCGCTGGGTCAGGCGGCCACACGGCGTCCTGACGTTCAGGTTGACGCAGATGCTTACCGGGCACGGGTGCTTTGGTAAGTATCTGTGTCAAATTGCGCGTCGGGAACCGTTGCCCGTATGCCACGAGTGTGGTGCGTCCGAGGACACCTCGCACCACACCCTCGCGGTATGCGCCGCTTGGGCTCCCCAGCGCCATGCCCTGATGGCGGTAGTGGGTGGAGACCTGTCGTTGCGAAGCGTGGTGGGGGCCATGCTACGCGACGAGAGGTCCTGGTCGGCGATGGTCTCTTTCAGCGAGGCCGTCATCTCACTGAAGGAGACGGCGGAGAGGGAACGCGAGGCTAACGCCTTAGCAGACCCTCTTCGTCGCCGTCGGCTGGGGGAGAGGAGGCGCCGGTACGCGCATCTTCTCCCGCCACCCTAGAGGAGCTACTGCGGGGGGGTCTCTCGTTGACTCCCCTGCACGTCATCGGGGCGGTTGGGATGCCCTGCGAACCGAGGGCATCCTGATTTAGGCGAGGCAGGCCCGCGGGGTACGGGCCGTCCGCAGGGGTGTTGCAGTGAATGCGCAAGCGATCCTGCACACCCCATTGCACTGCGGCGACGGGTTCCGCTGTGGGTTTTAGTGAGTAGGAGTCTCACAGTACCCTACCCATTGACGGCCGGTAGGGTCCCCATGATGGGTTTCCCCAGCGATAACAAAAAAAAAAAAAGACCACTCTACCCACAAAATCATACTAAGAAAGTATGTATTAGCAAAAATTAGTTGATTGAGAAAGCACTGGCTCCAAATAGAGACCATTCGAACAAGAATGGAATCTTTAATACTTATTTATAATATCGTTTTGTAAATATATTAACGAAAATTATAATAAATATTAACAAAATATAATAGGTATTTCAATATTTTAATTCGTTATTTAAACACAAAAATATCAAAATGAAATTACTTCATTAGGCTACGCCATCTAGCGGGAATACGTGGAACTGTATAAAGAAATGGCGTACGAAGTGCTCTTATAAAAATTACATCAGACTCTATCTCATTGACAGTTGATTTATTAAAGCAAAACTTTTAATGTAAATACGTAGTACTATAACATTTAAGAATAGAAATACACTATAAAAATATGATACCTAAGAACTATCTCATTTTTATATTTATCATATATTGGAATAAAGTTTATTATAAAAAATCGGATTTTATATAGGTACTTTAACTCTATTTTAACGTCCATATTTTTTTTAAAAAACGTTTGCTTCTAATCTTACTTATGTCTTATACCCGCACTTTCCTTCTAATTTCAGAAGGCACAAACATCGTGATATAAAATATACCTTGATGAATGATTAATAATATGTAAACCAAAAATGATTTAAATAAAACTGTCTACATTAAACTTGAATAATATCAACTCTCTTTATTTGTTTGTAACCTTATGACTTTTTTTGCAATGACTCATGGACGTTTTACGATTGACAAACAAGAATTGTAATAAATAATTACAAAAATTTAAATATCTTGTAAGGTGGCAATGAACTTTTCTATTGAATCATATTACAGGCTATATTACTCGTGTAAAAATACTTATATGTTGGGAAAATAGAACGTTTCATGACACCATCTTCTGAATTTGAATTGAAGCTTTTCTTTTTTTATTTGAAATAGATTCTTGGTTAAATACAGGAATTTAACACAAAACTTAAACATGGTTATTATTAATTATATATTTTTTAGAGCGGGTAAAATCTTCTCTTTTAGCTATACGTTGTACTATAAGATATTTTTTTTTTTTGGGACATTTACACACAGCACCATCTAGTTCCATGGTAAGCTGCGAGGCTTGTGTTATGGATACCAGATAGTTGATACACTACACATATATAAACTTTAAATACATACATATTATAAATATAAACACCTATGATCACAAAATGAATGCCCCCAGCGGGACTCGAAACCGCGACTGCTAGCACAGCAAGTATCACTACACTCTCAGGGTCACTACACACTGAGCCAAACGTTTCGTCATTTAAGCGTTAGTCAATTAAGCGTTTCCTTAAAAATAGGAATATAAAATAAACAAATACATTAATCATATTGGTTCATTGAGATAGATGACTGCTAGATGGTCTAAGGTTAAAACACGCTGCAATAAAAAATAACGTTATTTAATAACCCGCTAAACCTACACAACCATGCATAAAAATCAACCAGTAAATAAACCGTAATTTTAAGTTGTACAAAAGTGAAAGTTTATATAAAATTATTTGAAAGTCCACTTTAGTTAGGACTTTTTGGACACTTTCAATGGATGGGTAAACAATAAAATAATTAATATACTAATATTAAAGTTAAATATTCTCGTAAAGTTGTTACTAAAATTATAACTGCTATAGAAACAATATTTTTTTTTAAATTGAAAAATTACATAATATACGTGTATGTATAACTATGTATGTAATTCTAGATTCTCGATCAATTTGGAGTTTGAATGTTCAAATGTGCCTTGCGGTATCTAGATTAAAATAAGGTTTTATTTAAATTATTAAACTTTGTCAACCTGATACCTTTAAAAGCTGTAACCGGTAAAGCATATACATTTTTAGTTGTTCCGGCCAGTTAGACTTAGTTCTAGATTCTCATTTAAGTATTAGAGCTAGGATTTTTCAATGGGCTTTGCAATGCCGAGCAATGCGAGCACTGACGTCGAGATGAGAAAGATTCGGCGTTATCTAGTAATGTTATTTATTAGCTGCTGCATGTCGCCACTCGCGCGCGCATTCCGCCTAACTCACAAACAATAAATCGCAGAACTACCAGCTCTTTTTCTACCTAGCAACTGTAAAAAATCTCATATACTCGGTTCTAATATTTACGTTTGTAATAGGACCAAAAAAATGTTTGGATTTATTAATTTGGAATTATTAAATTTTACTGTTAATTGACGTGCTTATTAGTAATTAATTTAAATATACAGCTGTAGACAAATAGAATATATAATAAAAAAAACAGAACAGCAGATTAAATTTTATACAGACAAATGACATCTCAAAACATATTTATCCTTACAAATTGCAAGCATAACAACAGTCTCTCAGAGACAATGGCAGGTATCCAGAGTACGTTTTATAATCATTGCAGTGTAGCGTGTATCGGTGGCGCCGCACACACACACGCGCGCGCACCTGACGCCGCCGGTGGCGCCAGCGACCTGCCCCCCGCGCCTCTCACCACACTCCGACAATGTTGCCAGTGGAAACCACTGTGGCATTATTTAAGGAGTTTATTTAAGTTTAATATTTGATTTTGTTCTTTATAAGTGATTTGAGGAACTGTTTCTGTGAATTATTGTGTGGTGTTTATGTGATTTTTAATTAATGTATTTTTTATAAATTGTTAATTATTTTAGTATAAGAATTATTTGCAAATGTTACAGTTTTTTTTACTAATAATAAAATATTTCTACTGTTAATTTATATTATTTGATGTTGTTATACTATTTTTGTATTAACCTTAATCATTTACTATTTCGAAGTTCATAATTATGTAGTTGTATAAAATAACATGAAAGCTGTTAATCTTTTTATTTTTTAAATTAGTATAATATGTATTTGTGTATTTTCATTATAGAAAGGATTTTGGTCGTAAGGTAGAAGAGAATAACTCTAAATGAGTTAACTTTATTCTTTTCAAATTTGAATTACATTTGGATATATTAATGATAATCGGGTTAACAAATTTGGGATACGATTTACACAAAAATATACGGTGAGATACAAAAAAATAATAATTACCAAGTTATTTAGACATAAACAGGGGACAACATCCGGACACGTGTACGTCACGGGCCGACACAAAAAAAAACGTGAATACACACACACGGGGTAAAACACTAGCGCAGGTGTCGCCCCACCGTCCACCGACAGGCGGCAGCGTTCGCCAGTCGAGACTTCGCACGCGGCGAGTGATGTCGTGTCATTGCGACTCGTGACGACGACGGCATGTGATGTTCCGGAGACGCGCGCTGCGGCGGCGGCTGGCGGCGGGCGGAGCTCCCTCCGTGCCTGACGACCAGCTCCGCAAGCTCGCGCGGGCCCTCGACGCCGGGCCCGCGGCGGAGCCCTGCGTGCCCGGGAACTCCGCCCTCGCCCTGGCCGTCATCAGGACCTTCCGGCACCCAGACGTGCGGGATCTCGCCGAGCTCCGCCGTCTGCCGCACTGCTCCCTACACCAGTGCTGCAACCCCTACCACTACAGCCGCCTATGCGAGCCCGGTACGCGCAACAAGTGATGTGTTATGTGAATGGCCGGTGAATGAATGTGATTCGGAATAGAAAGTAGCAAAGATGAACCGTTTATCTCCAACAGGATGCTTCACGTGAATCCACGCTGCAATATCAGTGCAAAGCGTTATCAGTTTATCGCCACTGTTTGCGTCTTACGTTGATATGGCGTCGGTTTGCTACATTTTATATTTTCTAACCACCCCCCAATTGTAAACATAACTATTATTAGACACTGACATCAGCATCTAAGAGTGTTTGGAAAGGTCACTGATTTCGTTCTCAGTTGAAGCTAATACCAGCGCTATAGCTTCGACAAACATTCGCGAGACGTTTAATTATCAAAAATACTTTCTTATCATGCGCTCTACATACAGATAAATCTTCATAACGAATTTGACGCTAGCGAGTGGTGTCAGACACATCGTGGACCGTGGTGGCGGAGATATGCGATTTATTCTGCTAATGAAGTATAATGGAAATAGCTAGAGTGAGTTGTTTTGGTTCTGGCAGTAACGCGGTTAGATTTATGGCCCGACTGGCGCCGGGTGCGTAGGTAAAGTGCTAATCTGCCGTCGTGAGGGTCACTCGTTCGATAAGTAGACAAGGTCACGGCGTTGGCGCCTCGATGCCGCGACGCCCGGCGCTCGCGCAACCCGTTAACTTTTTAATTCGCAATGGCGGCCGACAGCCTTTAACGTTTCCGACCGATTAATACCTCCATGAATTTAGATGCTTTGATATTATTTATTATTTTAAATAATTTCCTTATTGAATTGGAATCACATGTAAGTAATTACCCATTTTTATAAATTCACATCTTATAATGTTGCCTGTTACATTTTTAAGTAATTTTATACTGCGTAGTTTTTTATTATTTATTTAACCATGCAGTAAGTACCTTTGCAGGCAACTTGCTTGCTACTTTTATCCTAATATTTATATATAATTTGGTAATATCCGTCCGTGACATCGCCTACAGCCGCCCACGCACTACGCAGACTACCGCCGTACTTAGGAAGGTATGTAGGCGTGCTGACAATGTCGGTTAGCATATTAATTAAGAAGAAAGCCACTAAATATTGAATCTTAATTAGTTTGAATGGTACGTACTAGTATACTACTAGAGAACCAGTGCGTCGTTAAAGAATTAAAAAATAAAAACATTTACCTATATGTCGTCCGTCCATTCATATGTACATATTTTACCAAATGTTTACATGGTTATTTATAAAATCATTTCACGTAAATCGTTTTCCGTTATCTTAAGAACTGATAATAACGTCGGACATACATTAAGTAAAGCAGGATGTGTTTTTCATATAGTATGTTGGCATTACCATATAAGTAATGGCGCCTGCCTTCTTAACTGCGGATATTTTCGAAAGTCCCCTTTTAGGGGTAAGCACTACATCTTAAGTATCTATTCTTATTTCTTAATATCTATGACGTTAAAAAATAAACATAATTTATATGGAAAAATTAGGTTTTCCCACGAATCGCTTGTGTGGACATTAAAAACGGTCACGTTTTTAAGTGTTTTGCTATGCATGTCCTTAATAAAGAATTAGTAATTTCGGTGTGAATGTATGTGACATATTAAACAGATGGACAGACTAACCGCAGTATTTATATTAAAGAAATACGAAATGTATTTCAAAAAAGCTCTATACCAAATAATTTCTAAGGTTTTGAAAATTATTGAAGTTTTAATGAAATTTCAACAAAGTAGTTTCGATTTAAAGGTCCCTTGATTTTGTCAATCGTTTCATTTCCTCATATTAATTATCAATAAAGTCATACGAAAGCTTGTTTACATAAACTAGCCTCATCTCGCGACTTGCGCATTTCAATGTAAGTCATATTTAGTTGTTTTATTCACACGAATTTGAGCTCCCTCCGTATTAAATTTCATATCATAGAGTAACTCTCATAACTCTATGTATAGCCTAACAAACTTTGAAAGCTAACAGTGCTTTTAGTTTTACATTTATTTAAAGAAAAAACATTCAGAGACATTTTGTTTCAATAATTATTTTTTAACTATATAAGAAGTAAACTGGCTTCAACATCATATTAAAAGTAATCAACCCTTAGGAATACCTAAGGGGGTAATTTTCATTATGCCTGTTCACAAATTGTGAAAATACACTCATCCCATTTTGAAGTCGATTAAAAATATCCAACAAACAAACATTACGATACAGGTACGTTATATGAATAATTACGTAAATTAATATACATGGCTATAAAAAAATCTTGAACATTGCAGATTAATGTTTGTTTACATTTCTAAGATCCTTGTAGTATAATGTGTTAACTTTCACTTTCTATTGAATTAAATATGTAATACTTATCTTTAAGTTTATACGTTTGTGCATAACTGTAAAAGATATAAAAAAAAAAAGATATTCTTGTAGGGCGTCGTATTTTGACGATTTACGATATAATTAATCTGTTTCAGTGACGTTATGTTTGCGTCAGAGATAATAGATTTAGTTCCGGAATATATCATTAAATCTGTATCTATCATACACTTTAATTTTTTTGTATAATCTATAGTAATAATAAGTCCTCCTGACCGATTCCGGCCACGGCGGCCAATCTCATTGAGACTAGCCAACTGCGCAGGAGATATTATAGTGCACAAGTGTACGCGCAGACACAACGTCTCTCTATTCCTGTCACTCTCATACTCCGGTGGGACGACACGAGACACAACCTGTGAGAGTTATGGCGCAGGACTGACGGCTTTACGTGCTTTCCGAGGCACGGGTGTGAAACACCGCCAACTTTCCAACTCCGAGCTGTTACTGAGGCTTACTAAACAGAAAGACTCAATAACTAAATTTGGCCCGACCCGGGACTCGAACCTAGGACCTCCGATGTTTAGCCGTACATGCTAGCCACTACACCACCGAGGTAGTTTATAGACTAAAAACAATATACCGTTTAAACTAAAAAATATATAGGCGGAGTCCGGCAAAATAAATGTCAAAGTCAAAAAAAGTAGCGTGATTGCTGTTTTATGCTATTATTCTCGATTTTTCCATACAGACTGTTTACTTTCTTAAATAAATGATGCTAATATTCTTTTGTATTTCTGTGCATTAGTTTTCTTCCCCTCGAAAGAGAGATGGCATAGTATTATTGGCTTATTTAACTTTTTTCTTTATTATCATAAATTCCGTTAGCTATTTTTGTATATTAACATATATTTACTTATTACTCAGTATACAAATTGTCATTTGTACACTATTTTAAAACATTGTTTGGCTCTATGTTTAGTTCTATGACACCCGTCTATAATTTACTCTTTAGTCTATACCCAAAATCAAATACATAAATTCCTCTATAGTCTACAGCCCATATTCTATCTATATGTAAAAAATTATATCAATTCGTTGCTCTCTATTATTGCTTGATAGACAAACACACTAACATTAATAATATACTAGTAAGGATTTCCATTATTAAAAAGTCTCGCTACCGTTTTTTATGTTAGTATGATTAATACTCCATATTAAGCTTTAACTGCGGTTTAATAAAAGTGCGCATTTTATTCTTTGGCTAAAACAGCTTGTCCATTACTGGTTGTAATTGCAGATCAGGTTTTTGCGGGCATACCGCGAGTTCCTAAGTTTATTAAATTCGTCTCCAAACTTGTGAAGGTACAAAATTTTATGTTAATATTGCAATCTTATATGGCATATCGATGGATAATCATGAAACGAGAAAAATAAATTGATTTATTATTTTTAAAACTAGATAGTAATCTATACAAGGAAATATTATTTAACTTATTTCACAATGCTCTCAAATACAGTTAAGAAACACTACAATCGTGCGTGTTGGGCGATGATCTTTAAATTTTGTCCACACTGACAGATCTTGTTTTTACGGTTCCGTACCCGAAGGGTGCTATCGGAATCCATTTACCAAAGCCTCCGCTGTCCGTCCGTGCATCTGTTAGAGGGCTGCATTTCATAAACCGTATTAGATGAGAGTTGAGACTTTTTTAACATTCGTCGTCTAATCGATTATCGAAGATTATCGATTTTTTTATACAGTTTTGAACGAAATTAATCTATGACAAACACAAAATTGTCCAAATAAAAACCTACTTATTATACATTTTCAATCGTGAAATTCTTATTTATTTCGTCGGTAAAGTTGGACCTCACCGGCGCACTTTTTTACCGTCTTGTCGATCACACGACGCCACCGCTTTTTGTCAACTTTCGCGGCGGACACTTCCCACAGAGACGCCACATTCTTTATATTTTAACTTATCAATTGCCTTATACATTATCCACATTGGATACTAATGAATTATGTATTAATGATAGAAAAACCAGCCTTTTATTATGTACAAATTCGTTGAATTAACTAAATTATAGTATAATTTAAAAACATCTATTGGTCACACAATTATTGATTTATTTGATCTCGGCAGTTGAAATACACGATTTGCAGCCTTCATTGAAGACATACATATATATCTAAGGATATAAAATCTAAGGATGCTTTTTATTCTGTACTTTTTAAACAACTTCTTAACTTACCTTTTATTTGAGAATTTTGATAGTCCTGGACAGACCTTTGTTAATAATAGTGTACAAACATGACATTAGGATTTTAATATGCTTGTAGATGCGCAAGATTGTGAAGTGTTTTGTTTTTATTCATCAAGATATGAGAACGAAATTTGATCCTTACTTTTGATAGCCATTTTGAGCTGTAAAAACGTCGTAAAATTCGGCCATTGCTTTATTTTTGCACCTGGTTCACTTAATTCGTAAGTGTTTATTGCTGCCAAATGGTATTTATTATTTATTATAATATAATTGATTACACTCATTCTAAGGCTGTCATACTAATAATAATAGATGAAGATGCTTCTTTGGCTATAAATTATTAAGATTTATGCTGACATTGTACGCCTCGTAGCTCATTTAAATGAAAAAGTTTCCGCAAAAACTTAAAAAAAT